ATCGTGCCCATGATGGCTAGTTATGCGATGATTCGAGTAAATGATAGATTAGCCATTGTGCGGAACATGACGACGGCGAGACAAGAAAGATCGTAAGGATTTACAACTTTTTAATTTTCAGATTTAATTTTCAATTATATGTTATGGAACTAATATATTCTACTTCGGTTGCAGGGGTGACTGTGGCTTATTTGCAATCAAGTACATAGAGTTCTTGAGCATTGGTCGCAATGTTGATACAATAAATCAGTCTTGGATTGATATGTGGAGGCATAAATTAGCTTGCGACTTGTATGAATATAACTGTGATTCTTAGTGCATTGTATATTATTTTATTAAAATGTAAATGTTGTTTACATTAGTAGGATTTGTGTTGTACTGAAAGAAATAAATAATCGAAATAGAGTATATTGTATGATATTATTTTGAAAATGTAAATTTTTTTTAATTTAATTGTGACTCAAAATTTTAATTTAATTGTATATTTATTGCAATTTTTTAATAGTTGATTTGGATCATATAATGATAATCGGGAATTAAATGGACTAAATCAGATGCAATTGGAAAAAAAATGATCGATTCATGTAATATTTGGTTCGAAAAAAGCGTTAAAAATTTTGGGGGACCTAATTGCAACTTTTTAATAGTTGATTCGAAACATAAAACGATAATCGAGAATTAAATGGACTCAGTTGGATTCAATTGAAACAAAGATGACTGATTCATGTAATGTTTGGTTGAAAATGGCTTTAAAAATTTTGGGGACCTAATTGCAAATTTTGGGGACCAATTAAGATAATTATTTAAAGAAATAGTAAAACGAAAAATCGAATAAATATTATTATTTTTATTCAAATAAATAATCGAAATTGAGTAATTAAATATGAAATAAATAAAACACATGATTAAGGAAATATTTAAAGAATAAATTAAATTGAATAATATTTTTTTTACTTAACCAATTAAGAGAATTAATTAAAGAAATAGTAAAATGAAAAATCGAATAAATATTATTATTTTTATTCAAATAAATAATCGAAATCGAGTAATTAAATATGAAATAAATAAAACATATGATTAACGAAATATTTAAAGAATAAATTAAATTGAACAATATTTTTTTACTTAACCAATTAAGAGAATTAATTAAAGAAATAGTAAAACAAAAAACCGAATAAATATTATTCAAATAAATAATCGAAATAGAGTAATTAAATATGAAATAAATAAAACACATGATTAACGAAATATTTAACGAATAAATTAAATTGAATAATATTTTTTTTACTTAACCAATTAAGAGAATTAATTAAAGAAATAGTAAAATGAAAAATTGAATAAATATTATTATTTTTATTCAAATAAATAATCGAAATTGTGTAATTAAATATGAAATAAATAAAACACATTATTAACGAAATATTTAAAGAATAAATTAAATTGAATAATATTTTTTTTACCTAACCAATTAAGATAATTAATTAAAGAAATAGTGAAACGAAAAATCGAATAAATATTATTATTCTTATTCAAATAAATAATCGGAATTGAGTAATTAAATATGAAATAAATAAAACACACGATTAACGAAATATTTTTTTATTTAACCAATTAAGATAATTAATTAAAGAAATAGTAATCTCTCCATATTGTTAATTAATATATATCGTTGTTTCACTTGTTTTAAAAGAAAACAAACAAATACATGACACATAGAAAATACATATGACAAATGTGATAAAAATTAAAAAGAGTAATTAAACAATATGATAAATATTATATCCGATTTCAATTCAGAAAATCACAAACACATGACAAATAGAGAATACATATGATTTATATAGATACTACACATCCGTCGAGTCATTGTTTAGTGGGATCTGACTTGTACAAAATCGACGTGTATGTCCTGTAGCGCCGCACCTCCCGCACTTACGCGGTTGTGGAAACTCTCCTGTAGATGGTATTCTAGACGTCCGTCTATGACCAAGAGTACGCGGTGGAGCTTCAGGTGGCAACAAATTATTAAGTGCTACAATATAATCAGGAACTTCCCACTCGACTTCATTTGGTAGAGGAAATATAGTTTCGGCATACGCTGCTCTCCAAAAATCAGTCATATAATAGTGACTGCACAAGCTGTGTGGTGGAAATCCTCTATACATAGCCACTGCGACAGCATGTGCACATTGAAAACTTTCCAACTGAAATTTTCTACATGTGCAGGTATTATCATTCAAGTCTACAATGTATCCAAAATTACGCCCGCATCTCACGGAGAAGCGAAATTGATCTAGTGGTTCCACAAATAGAGCTTTTGCCACTTCCAGAGTTTTGAATAGTCGATCTTCCTGTGCCGGAGCTAGCACACTCGTGCAATTTTGGGATTCTTCACGTCGGTCATAAAACCATTGTTGCAACTTGCTGCGAATATGTTCAATCATTGTGAGAATCGGTAACTCTCGATCCTTCTTGAATAATGCATTGAGCGACTCTGCATTATTCGACGTCATCATGTTGTATCGACGCCCTGAAAAATGTGACCGTGCCCAATGTTCGACCCCCATATCTGATAGAAATTCCCATGCACTTTCTGATTTATGTTCTATTTCGCCCATGAACTTTGTAAACTCTTCAAAGCTGTAAGCTTCTGCAGCTCTCCTAAACAATGCAACGATGCGACTGCCCTGGTACCTAGTTTTCAGATTGCCCTGAATGTGGTACATGCAATAACCATGATGTGCTTCTGGAAAAACTTCGGCTATACCATTTATTATTGACTGCCCCCGGTCAGTCACAAATGCAAGGTTCTCGATGTTCCCAATTACTTCTCTCAATTTCGTGAAGAACCAACGCATTGCTAGATCATTCTCTCCATCAACAATGCCAAATGCAAGATGGTAAATTTGGATATTAACATCTTGACAAGTAGCAATAATCAACTTTCCTTCATATCTAGCTTTTAGGGTTGTACTATCAACTAGAATTAGAGGTCGCATCGCATTTCGAAAACCTCTAATGCATTGTCCAAGAGCCATAAAAAATACTTGAAGCGATTCTGCCCATCGGTTTCAATAAAAAACGTCCGAGTCAGAATTAGTTCTCACCATGTTGTGGCAATACCTGGCCAATTTGGCATAACTCTCCTCTGTCGAACCCATTAAATCTTCCAATGCACATTCTTTAACCTTCCAGGCCTTCTGGTAACTCATAACCACCCCATACTCTCGACGGATGTCGTTGATGATATCTGTAGGTCTGTAAATCGTCCGTGGATCCTGAAACTTGTGCATTATCTGTCGACCAATAAACCATGATCGAGCTTGCCTGTGATCATTTTGACGAATACCCACTTCACAAGTATGTTCCTGTGCATACTTACAAACAACAAAGAACTCATTTGTGTTTATCTTTATCGCACTCAAACGCCAACTGCAATTGTTGTCCACACAAATAATTGTGTATGTAGACTTGTTTATTTTTTTACCTTAAACTCAAAATTATGTTTCATTGTAATTCGGTGCACGGCTTCTTGCAAATCTCTTTTCGTATCAAACAATTGATCGACATGTAAATCTTCATCATCAGGAACTACACGCGAACAATTAGAAGACCGTGTACTCGGCCCAGCATGTGAGCTCCCACCAGACTCATGTCTCTTTCTGGATAAAGTAATCAAATCCTGATTTGTAAATGGCCTTTCATCCTCGTTGTCTTGAACTCCCTCGTAAATCCTTCGTGTAACGGTGACATCATGGTGAGTAGCAACTGCCCCAGGAATAACCACATCATCCTCCCGAGTAATCTCAACAGTATCCCAAAAATCATTCTCATTACGATCCTCTCCATCAAAAACTTCGTGTTCACCCTCGATGACATTTTTCTTCAACAAACTTACGCAAATAGGAGTCGTCTTTCGACCTTGGTTCAATTGAATTAGATGCTTTATTTGCGCTTCAGAAGTAACTTTCAAAGGTGGAATCGAAATTGTTGAATTCTTTTGAAATAAAAATTCCAATTCCATATCGTAATGAGAGGAATCGACGTTAAGCATGTTTTGTATTTCACTGTACATTTCTGTAAACGAAGTATTTTTTGTTATCGAAATAGCAGCAATCCCTTCTCCTTCACTCGTTCATTTCCATTTCCATTGACCATTTTCTTTCCTTTGAAATTTGCCGAAATAACAGATTGGGACACATGTTTTTGCCATATCTGCATTACGAATTAAAAATATCAGAACAAATTATCAGAAATAAAATTATCAAAATCTAGGGGCAGGGAAGTCTGCAAACGGACGGTCCGGATCGTCCGTTACGGTCGGTCCGGACCATTACGGACCGTCCGTTTACTCCGGCGTCTGATCGGTGTCGGCCTAAACTTTGGCTCTAATATTATTTTTTCTACCACTTAAAAAAAATACAACTTCAATAAAAATAAAATTAAATACTAGGAAAATATATTTACTGAATTGAAGTGCTGAAATTTAACTAAATTTTTCTGTTGAGGTTGATAATTGATAAGTTTATGAAATTTTGAGGTTGAAGTGGATGAAAAATGAAAAAGTTTTTATCGTGTTAGAGTAAACTGATGAAAATACTGACTTCATTTTCAAATTTCAATTGAGAAGTGTTTGGATTTTTATTTGTAACTTAAGGATATTTTTGTCTTTTTACCATATTTCTATTTTTGTAATTATATAACTCATTTAAGGACGTTTTTGTCTTTTACACAAGAAATGACCATTGTGGTGAATGTTAGATTTTTTTTGTTAAAATGGAAAATGATTGGTTTGACAAAGCCAAACTTAAAAGTACCCCGGAATAAAGTGACCCCTCAAACTCAAACCCAAACACCACGCCCCACCCCCCCCAAAAAAAATGAAAAAAGAAAAATCTCCTTTAGCCGCTTATTTTTGTTTCGGTAAACTTCCTTTGCAGTTCCCTTCTATCTCTGTTTACTAAAATTGGGTTATTCAGCTGCTGAGTAGCGGTAGTCATTTTGTCATTTTAATTGTGTGGAGAAATTTGTCTGTTGGATTTCATTTTAATTTTTTGTGGGCTTTGTTTATGTTTGACGGGGTGCTATGATGTGTGCTAATTGAAGTTTAATGGGACTCGAGATATATAGTTTTAACTGCAATAAAATAGCAGTATAGGAAATGCTGCGGAGATACCAGCGCAAAAGAAAATAAAATATTAACAAATAGTGTTTGATGAAACGCCAGAGTGAAGGACAACAGTGATTATAGTGTAGTTCCTTTTTTTTTTTTTTTTTTTTTTTTTTTTTTGTTGTACATACTCAAAGTGCTGATAAATTCTTGTTGAAGTTGCAGCCGTTGTTGAGTAGCTTTTTGAAATTGATTATAGATATTTGAAAGACGGTTTGGATGGAGGGCGAGGAGGATCTAGTGAAGAAGGAACGCGTGGTGGAAGCGCGAGCTAGAAACATAAGTCACAATGTGAGGTGCACAGAGTGTGGCAGTCAGTCCATTGAAGACTCCCAAGCTTACATTGCCATTCTCCTTCGTAAGGTATATCTATTAATAGTTCTTGTGCACATTAAACTTCTTCTCGTTACTACTAAGAAATCTTGTTACATTGAGAAATGGTACTATATTTTTGTATTGAGCACTCTCATTTGATGTGCAGTTTGTAGAATGCAACTGCAAAACTAAAATGTCCACATGAAGATGAACATTACCTGGATGGAATACATTTTTAGATGTTTGCACTTGTACGGCGTCTCATATGACTACCTGATTAATCTTAAGTAAGAATTAGGCTAGATAGATGAGTGAGTAATTTTATTAAGTGCACTAGTTAATCTTTAGTAAGAGTTAGGTTAGATAGATGAGTGAGTAATTTTATTAAGTGCACTAGTTGTCCTTGATTTTGAATAATTGATCTTTGGTTTTTCAGAAAGAATAAATGGGGCTGATTATTTCGGAGGCCGATCCGTGCATCTTGACAAAACATTTTATTTGCTAGAGTTTTTTTTTTAATATAGTGTATTCTTGTTATCGGTATTTGCAATTTTAATTTATAAGGTTTATTTATCTTTTGGTGTTATTTCACTTTCTAGTCGCAACACGGATGTGGGAACTGATATTTTCTTTGATTTCTGCTCAAGTTAATACGGGATGACATTCGCGATGGGAGATCTGATAAAGAGATCTACAAGAGGCTCGGGGAAGAATATGGTGAGACAGTGCTTTATGAACCGAAATTTGATTTGCAGACAGCTGGTCTATGGTTATCACCGGTTAGTTAAAGAGGCCATCTAACTTACTCCTTGGTTGTATTTGTATTCTGGGAGCCAACGACACGCAAAATTGAAATCTGGAAATAGCTTTTAGTTGCAGGTGTCGCTGGAGGAATGTGGGCATACAGAAAGCACAGGCAAAAGACTAATGTGCACATTATGGCTTTAAACCTCGTTAGAGGAGTCCCATTAACCCCGAGGGAGAAGGAAACAATGTTAGAGGTCCTCACACCGCCGCCTCCTGAAGGAGCTTCGTTTTGGTGGAGAAGATGGCTTCGTTGATGATTCCAGAATATATTTTGCCTGTTTCCCTATTTATTTGGGTCATGATAATTGAATATCTAGTTTATCCGATCATAGGATTTGAAGATACCAGCCCAGGTCGGAGTTTCATTTCGTCTTGGTGAAAACTCTGTTTGTATGCAACCTTAAAATGAACAACACTTTGTGATTTGCAATAAATTATTTTGGTTGTGCATGGACTCTATTAGAGTTCAAGCTAGTCATTTTTGCTTACACAAATGTGTCATATGCACATGTTACAGCTTAAGCTTTAACTGCGTTTCATTTCTTCTTACTTGCTAGTTGATAGGACTCTCTGAATAGGAACTGCATATTCCTAAATGTAGATATATATTTATTCAGAGTATAAAAGATTATAGTTCAAAGAACAATTTTCGAAAAGCAATTGAAATTTATTTTTAGGTTGAAAAAATAATGAGTACAACGTGGCAGAATCAAGAAAAAAACACTTCTTCCTATTTAAGTATTGAAGTCATGGCGATCAAGTACAAATGAAAATGAAGAGAAGTGTCCAAAGATTGGTGGCAGACCTCAATAGTCGAAGTAGCATCAATGCATCAGGTTCCCGAAGTGTGACTTTTTAAAGCATCCCCTTTGCTGTAATCAGAGAGATGGTCTCAATTGAGTCATGTTATTTATACAACTTTCTTTACGACTCACAGTTGGCAAACATCACATCCATTCATTTTAAAAATTGTCTTTTTAAATCAACGGCATGAATCTTAACAACTCACTAATTGTACCAATGGATTAATTCGTCTCAATTTTGTAAAGGAAAAATGGAGTTCAAATTCCAGAGATCAATTTCCCTTGGGAGTTCAAACTCCAAACCCACAGGTCGAATTATATTTTTGCACCAAATGTGGTGGTTTTGTCCATGTAAATGTGGTGTTTGTTGCCTCATTTCTCGTGAGTGGAATATGGTAGATTACAATGTGACGTCTTTTTATTCGTTTGACGGGAATAAATATAGGTGGATTGATTGCATTCCTCAATTTCTTTAATCACTGTTTTTTGATGATTTAATTTAAATTTTATTTTTACCCTTAAAATTATTAATTTGAATTAAGTATTGTGTGCAAAAGCCATATAGCTCATCGTATATATAAGTTGGATTATACCATGGGTGGTTATATTACTATCACAATTTTTATTTGATACATCACATTTTAATTGTAATTAAGCTTTTCATCTTTGTTTATTATAGCAATTATTTTCTTAACTTTTTTTTCATTGAACAATCTTCCATTAATCAGTATGTCTTGTCCTTGATGAAGAGTTATATCAAAATATTTTGTTTTCATGTTTTGAATTGGTGAAAAGAATATTTTTCACACTTTTTATTTTATATTTTATAAAAATAATGAGAAAATAAGTTGTCTTTGCCATTTCAACAGACTTTTGGACATAAAACTGTTATCAAATACAAAATTTATTAATTAATGATGATGATGATGATAATAATAATAATAATAATAAATCGTTATAAGTGTTGTAATGAGCAAAGATTAAAAACCTTAAATTATAATTAAAAGGGGGTGCTAAAAATAAAAATTATAATGTGAATATAATTATTGTTGTACTATATTTAGATAATGATGAAAAGATTTTATTCAAAAAAATGGGGAATGTAAATATGAAATATCAGAAAAAAGAAAAGAAAAATTGCTCATTCAATCTTCTGCTTCTCATTATTTTTTCGTACATTTTTAACACCTTTTGCTTCTTTCCATCAATAGCCGCCAAACCCGTTCCACCCCCAAATCATGAAGAACCCTAAACCCCCCGCACTCCAAGAAATTTTAGGGACCCATAATAAATAAAATAATTTTTATTATTATTTCAGAAATAATTTATAGCTACCTAAAAGTCAAATTGTCCACCTAACAATATGAGCATACTTAAGTCCACCAACCACTTAATCAAGCACGGACTGTTAGTGCCATACTGTACATCTTGCCGGTGCTTATTAAATTCTTCTACTTCATATTCCAGCTTGAAATTCTTCAGTTCTTTCTCTGTTTTCTCTCGTAAAGATCCCAACTTTTGTCTCGCTTCTCAGTCTCGCTTCTTTTCTTCTGGTAAACTTTCTTCGCATTTATCTTCTCTATTTGTTTACTGGTTAATTGGGATAATTTGGAATTGTCCGTAATTGAAAGATGATGAAGTATGAGCGTTAGTGGGCTTTTTGTCAATTTAATTGTGTGGAGAAATTAATAATTTATTGGACAGTTATAATTTTGTGGGATTTGTCGCTCTGTGAGTGGGTGCGGTAATGTGTGTTTATTGGAGTTCAATCCTTTATATCCTTATGCATAGAAATGGTAACTGAGTTGCTTAGATTGATAATGAAAAAGTTGAGGTGGAGCCAATCTTGAGTAATATTCATGTCTAATAGATCAGATGAAGCTTGGGTTATTCGTTAAAGCTTTAATTCATTTAAATTATGCAATCAAATAGCATCCATTCTTCAAAGATTGGGATCCAATATGCAAGCGACCTAGCATGCTTTTTATTAATTTTTTTTTCCTATCCAAAATGTGGCTAAATAATGACTATATTCAAAGAAGCCAGCAAACTTATGTAAACACGAAATTTAGGAGTTCTGGAATCATAATTTAGAGATTTTTTAGACATTTGATTGGTTGCTATTCGACATTTTCTATTAGGTAATGTAATTTTTCTTTTATCGCATTGGTGTCTATATCTATATCGTGGTTGTCCCCGTCTTTAAAATCAGAGGCTAGATTTTGTTTGAATCCCCTTTTCTGATCTTATTTTACAATTTCAGGTAATAACGTAATGATGGAGCTGTTCAAGGCTGTTTCCAGCACGGCATCTGCATCTCTGGGTAGTATTGCCATAAGATCAGATCAAAATAGTTATAGTTACCATCAGCTGATCTCATCTGCTTTGAAGATATCTAAGGCATTATGTGATGCTGATTTAAAAAATGTGAGTTGAAGCATTTACTTTGTGTTATATCTTTCAGCGAATAAAGCTGCAGCATTTTCTATTCGTATGTAATCCACTAAATTGTGAAAAATGTTGAGGGAACTCTCTATAATCCACATTGTGTGAAAAGGACTCTCTGACTTGGTATTTGCAAAAGGAAAGCTGCTAAATCTCACCTATTTCAAATATAAACAAATATAATTTCTTTCTTCATATAGAGTATCAATATTAACTGAATCTATGTAATGTTGTTTCACATTCTTGCTTACTTTCATGGTTATATCTCGCATTTCTCAGATTTATAATTGCTTAAACGTAGGTTTGTATTACTATTAGAAATTAATTTTCTTTTCATTTGGGATGGGGAACATATTGTTCTCAAGAGTTTGCTAACTTCATCTGTTTGATGAAAGAAAACTGATAATATCACAAATAAATGCTTTTCTTGTAGGTTGATAGCAATATAAAAAGTAAACATCTTGGTGGAGCTAGGGTGGGGATTGTTGCAAAACCATCTGCTGAGTTTGTTGCTGGAGTTCTAGGAACATGGTTCAGTGGAGGTGTTGCGGTCCCTCTTGCACTTAGTTACCCAGAAGCCGAGCTCCTGCATGTGATGAATGATTCGGTCTGTCCATGGCGTCCTGTATCTTATAGTCTCTTAAAGCATATCTGCCTAAGCTTAGAAAGCAGTTAAAACATTTAATGTTCGCAAACATAGCTGGATAACTTGCTTTTTTTGTTCTTACTTATAAGTAAAAGAGTTACTCTAAAAGTAACTCTCATTTTACTATTAAAACAAGTAACTTATTTTCAACTATAACCAATAATAAATTATTTTAAAAACTTATTTTATTTACTTATATATAAACTTTTTAAGATTAACCTACCTCTTTTCTTTTAAAGTAATCTGACATAATCTATGGTGGAGAAATATACATTGAAATTTTAAAATTTCCCCCCCCCCCCCACCCCCTCACAGATGACTTTAATATATTTCATAGTTGACCTAATGCTTTTGTGTGAGTTACATGATTAATACTGTTTCACTGGAGTATACCCTGATGCTCTTTGTTTTATAGTGATGGATCCTTATTTTGTAGAATTTTATGGTTGTCCTCAAATCATTTATAGAGAAATTGAAACTTATACATGTCGGCATGAATGTATTGGATTAGATCATCTATTGATAATCTATCGTCAATTTGATATTAGGACGTTTCTGTCATTCTGAGTACCGAAGATCATCAAAAACTTATGAAAGCCGTTGCAGCTAAAGCTGCTGCTCAAGTTTCCCTTATTCCTACTATTCCGAGCATAAGTGGTCTTGCAGACAAAACAAATGAGGAAATTGAAATTTCTGACAAGATAAATGGTATGTTATCTTTGGGGCCTCGAGAGTCAATATGTTAACTGTTTATGTTGAGCTCAGTGAAGGTATCTTTACTGGTATATCTTGATGTTTTAATGTAGGGAATGACGCAGCATTGATTATATACACCAGTGGTACAACAGGTAAACCTAAAGGAGTTGTACACACACACAAAGGTGTCTTGGCGCAGGTATATCTAAGCACCAATTCTGTTAAGTCTTTAATGTTTCTAAATTTTAAGTTAATAGCTTCTGCCGCACAAAATAAACTGGTAAATGAGACTAGAATTATGTTTTTGGGACATGAAAGAGTTTTTAGCTGGCCTTTGCTTAAAACTAGGTCATTGCATACTAGAGTATATTTTTTATATGAAATAGTTATCACTCATAAAACGTGTATTTATAACTTATATTTGGTACAATCTGGGTACCCATCTTTCGATTTATCTCATAGTCTGTGATGTGACATCATTTGCCATTATTCATACAACTGGCCCTATTCTAGTGCTGTATTATGTTCTGTTATGAGGAGTACAGGAAGACTTGTTGATGATCCACGTGTACTTATCTAAATTTTGTCTTCAACGTACCATCTTTCATCTAGGCCGGTTTCATTTTTCCCCATTAAAACATCTCGCGTGTACAATTTTAATAAAGGATGGCGTTGAGACTGGAACCTAGGTCTTTTGCATGGCTTTGATACCATGTTAACCATCTCATTTAAAGGCTCAAGCTATTAAAGACGAGCCACATGTATTTATTTAAAATTTATTTCTGTGTCATAAAAAATTCTTGTATGCTAAGCGTCTATTTAGTAGAATAAATTATATATTGATTCACAGCATTGCAACAATTTATCAGGATTTACTGTTTTGTACTGGGCCACTAGATGCTTTACCGCAAAGTTCGCAATTTACTTGCCCTACACTTTTAGTTTAATAAGTAGAAATGCTAGAGCACTCATTGAAGCTTGTCATTTAGCATCTCAAATTTCATCAGTATCAATTCACATTTACGAATAACTGATGTTTAACTTTGTAATAATTTCAGGTTCAAATGTTAACAGAGGCATGGGGATACACATCCAGTGATCAATTCCTGCACTGTCTACCATTACATCATATCCACAAATTTGTTTATATTACCTGTCATCTACTTCCATTAACAATTATTTTCCTATAGCTACAATTCTATCAGATATTACTTCCTATAAATGTATTTGACTAATTCATAAGGAAATTTAATTGGGTGTTCTATTTGTAGTTGACCTTAACTTCTAGTTACATGTTCATGGACTTTTCAATGCTTTATTAGCCCCTTTGTATGCGGGTTCCACGGTGAGTCTCTGACATTTAAGTTTGCAACTCTGAGATTCTTTTTAGATTTTAAATGGATCTTTTATGCTTCTGTTCTCCTTATAGTAAAACTGTATCTATTTGAAAGGTTGAATTCATGCCGAAATTCAGTGTGAGGGGGATCTGGCAGAGATGGCGTGAATCTTATCCGAAGGATGAAAGTAAAGCTGGTGATGCTATAACTGTGTTTACTGGAGTAAGTCGGATTTTTGATATCATCGCTTAGTGAAATTGTTGTTTGCATGTACTGCATGATTATGGTATCTCTTTGAGTCTTTTCAAGTAGATATCTAGTGGGCCATCATGCAAAATGGATAGATGGGCAGTGTATCGATTTGCTAATCTTTCCCCTGATTCTATGATATTAAGAGTGATTCTTCAGAATATGGCATTTTGACATTTGGTTTCGTGTTAATTACGAGGTAGTAGTACCTTTTTAGTACAGATTTTTGCTTTGGAATCTCCAACACGCGACATACTACTTCCCTTTCATTTTTTGGATTGTTCATCCTATATTTAGCTAATCAATCTGAAAGAACTTGATCATTTTGTATCATATAGGTTCCAACCATGTATACACGTCTAATACAAGGGTATGAAGCCATGGATCCAGAATCACAAGCTTCTGCTGCTTCAGCAGCTAGACAGTTGCGTCTCATGGTAATTAGCTTGATATCCTTTTCCTGGTGATGTCTCAAGGGTAAATATCCTTATAGAATTTGGAATCATTAAGTATCTTAGTGTGTGATCTTTTATGTTCTATCAGATCAATGTTATTATAAGAACCCTTATTCAGTATATTTCCTATGATGTTTTCCAGCAAGGTTGGTAAGGTGGACTGGACAATATTGAGGAAGAAAAAAAGCTAAAAGCTTATCCATTATACTGTCCAGATCTCCCCAATTCTACATTTTTAGTCTTTTTCCCTCCAAATCCTTAAACTGTAAGGCTTTTTGATTGTCAGATGTGTGGCTCCTCTGCCCTTCCACTTCCAATTATGCAACAGTGGGAAAGTATCACTGGCCATCGCCTTCTGGAACGATATGGCATGACTGAGGTACTTTTTTTCGTCTATGCAAAGAACATGTCTGCATTGTTAATGGAGTTTTCATGTGCAGTCTTGACGAGCAAATTTCATGATTTATTCAATGTCCCAATATATCTAGTTTGTCATGGCGTTGTCTAATCCCCTAATTGGTGAGCGAAAAGGAGGAACTGTTGGCAAGCCACTTCCTGGCGTGCAGGTTAGTTGATTTTCAGTATAGACCAGCGTTTGAAAGGTTGTACATCTAATGAATAACGTCTCAACATGCTGAGTATTCTACTGAAATTCTTTACTTTTATGGAGATCATAGTATATTAACGACGAGGATTCACTTTGCTGCATATTTATTGTTATTTTTTTCTTTCTTTAATTAAGAGGGTAATAAGGAACAATGTTTGAAAAACACAGTGCTTGATGCTATCTAAAATATCTGAGTTGACGTCAAAATATATATTCTTTTAAGTGCCCAAATATACTAGTAGGATAGGCACCATACAGAACTTGGTAAACAATTCATTTCTTGTGATAGGCCAAGATCCTTGCAGAAGACGGGAGTAGTGAAGTAGAGGTAGGCGAGCTCTGTATTAAAAGCCCATCACTGTTCAGGGAATATTGGAAGCTTCCTGAGGTATTTTCAATATCATGCCGTAGTGTACTATCTGAAAATTTTCCTATTGGATTAGTTTAGTAGATCATAGTCCTTTTTTTCTTTAGTCATGACAATTATTTTACTTTTTGAAAATCACAAGTCAATATTAATCAGAATTGTGGAGTTGCAGCTTTCTTAACTTTGACATACGAAGTTATGGATGTTTGTTAGGTAACTAAGGAGTCGTTTATTAACGGTGGATTCTTCAAAACTGGAGATGCTGCTAGATTGAATGAAGACGGATACTATGTCATTTTAGGACGTAAGCATGTTTCAATTCTCTAAGTTGTTACTAGTAATGAATTTGTTATGGTTGTCATAGTTTTTTATGTGGCTAACTTGAGACACTTGGAGCATGTTTAGCTAAGCCAGAGGTTAGAAGTACTTAGCTTAAATTTTACTTTCAATAATTTTCACCAAAATTTGAGTCGCTTAGATGCTCGAATTAGCATTTGTTATTCGAAAATACTTGCTATACATTCTTCCAAAATTTTTGAGTTGCTTAGATGACTCGTTTTCTTTCTCATCCCAAATTCCTACTTTAACGAATATCTTCGTTTAATGTGTTCCAACTATTTTCTCATTAACCAGGTACTAATGCCGATATTATGAAGGTTGGTGGGTATAAGTTATCTGCGCTAGAAATTGAAGCGGTTCTTTTAGAGGTTTGTTTCTTGTCTTCCCTGTATAATTGATCGACCTAAAATAAGAATTATAGCTATGAAATATACTTGTACACTGTTCCTTTTTGTTGCTCTATGGAAGACGTTCTATGTAAGGAGAAAATGAGTAATCATAAAAATATCAATTGATTTTAATCAACTTTATTTCTATAGCATCCGGCTATTTCAGAGTGTTGTGTGTTGGGATTGCCTGACAAGGACTATGGCGAAGCTGTGTGTGCAATAGTTGTAGCTGATGCAGAGGTTAAGAGAATACGAGATGAAGAATCGAATCCTGCTCTGACTTTGGAAGAACTTACCATGTGGGCTAAAGAGAAACTTGCACCATACAAGGTATCTCTTGCCTTTTCTGTGTGGAACCATAATACTATGAAACTTATCAAAATATACAACTAATCTAAGACAGTTCTCAAGTTTCAGTGTATATTTGAACTAAGATCCTCAAAAAGTAACTCTTGAAAATCTTAAATGGAAGTAACTTTTAAGCTTAGCCAAACATGATTCAGTGCTTGTTTTTCACGTTTATACTGCTGCACAACTTACCCCACACACCTCTTCGTTTTCCAGCTACCAACGCGTTTATTGCTATGGGAGTCGCTGCCACGTAATGCTATGGGAAAGGTGATTTACCCAAACCTGTTCTCTTTATTCTCCCATGGGGTATTTTTTGACTCCGTATGTCATTTCTAGAAAATGTTTCAATGGTTTTCGATTTGTGATTTCAGGTGAACAAAAAAGAGCTGAAGAAAAAGCTAGCAGACGATAAACAATGAGGACATTTTTCGTGCATAGTATTATTGGAAACGACTTGACAATATATTAAAATTTAGCTTATTTTTCTTCTTTAATGTTGTCCACTCTAGTCTGAGGTCGGTTGGTCGGTAAACATTAATACTGTTGATAGATTGAGGCAGAGAGTTTCAAGTAAATTTGTTGTGAAGGCACACTGAATTATAAGTTGAATTATTATTAATTTGAAATAATTGGGAATTTTGTTTCCTTTGAGTTCTGTACATGGAGCTTAATTAAAATGTGTGCAATTGTAACTCCTGGCATTAGCAGACAACGTTGTCTTGTTTAATCCGATGAAGGGATTTATAGTAGGAAAATAGGGACAAACTTTCTAATGCTGAGTATAGGGTATGCATTTTAGATGTAGCATATAATTTGATTCGAAAGGATAATTTTTTTAATACTTTTTATAATTGTACCATCGATTGTACTAAACGAGTAAATAGAGTTTTAATTGACAAAATCTAATAAGCTTGAAGAGGAAAAGATAAATTAAAATTTAATGTCATTGTAAAGGATTTGATTTCAAATATCAACTACTTGGACTTCCATTTGATGGATCTGTTATGAATATTCATATCCTCCTTTTCTTTTCAAATGATTTTGCTTACGATACCTACTGCTTTAACACTATAAATTTTATTGTTACCCTTGCTTCTATTGCGAGAAATTTGCATATATGAAATTTAAAGAAGTAAACATCTTTCTTAGCAAGTAGCTAATTGATAATGCACAAGAATTTTTGAAAATAGGCAGCAATCACCGAACCTTCATCGTCGTGAATGTTATTACAAGCTAGTAAAAATTTTCGAAATTTTTATCAAGCAAGAACTTGTATGTCAATTTAAAGAAATTGTACTTTTTGTTTTTGTTTTTGTTTTGTTTTGATACCCAGGTGTCCCAGCTTCGCCAGACTAAATTCTGGACCCCTAGCCACCGGCCCCTCAATGACTACAGGAGGTAAATCGCAGGTTGTGCCCTTGTTGGATCACAGGTTCCCACCCGGTCTAAACTCCTGGTCTCAAGAGAGCTTTCCTCCATAGTGATTAATCCACCAATAAATTGCCCCTTTATTGGATCAAAGGTTCTCACCAGGAATCGAACTCTCCACGCTTAGGTTGCGAGCGTGCCAAAGGTGATTGGTCCACCAACTCGAATGTGCCCTAGGGAGCTAAAGAAATTGTACTTCTTTATACACTTGGTTGATTAAGAGCTAATTGTGTCATCTACGAATATGATATTTAGTTGTCAGTTAATCTCGCTTTACGAGAAAATTCAAAATTGATTCAATTGTGAAGTTTAAAATTTTTCAACAAGAGAATTATTGTTCTTCCCTCTTACGCAATATTATAGTTTGATTGACTATCGAGGTTTTTGTTAAAATAGAAACCTCGATGTTTTTTTTTTGTTTGTAAGTTAGACTTGCTCTGGTGATATAGACGAATTCCTTTGTAGAAAACGTCTAACTCAACCATGGCCATCAACAAAGTTTATAAATAAATGGACTTCGCTACCAATGTCGATATGTCCGAGTGGTTAAGGAGACAGACTCGAAATCTGTTGGGCTCTGCCTGCGCAGGTTCGAATCCTGCTGTCGACGCTTTTCATTTTGGCCTTTACTACCTGCTTCTTTTTAAATTATCGATAATTCTTGAATGTGGGCTTTCTGACATACGACGACGTCGTTTTATAAGATTTTACTTTTAATTTCATTTGATAAAGGCCAAAAATCCCCTCTCACAAACCGAACTGCAAGCCCAGAGAAAGAGAAAATGGCCACCGATTTGTGAACAGAAAAATAAATACCGTAAAATTTTGAAAATTATTTCATAAGTATAATCTGTATGAAATGGAAAGACAAACCCTAGCTTCGTCATCTTCATCAACCAGTGGAATTTCAATAATTTCTCCTCCACCGGAAGATGCTTGGATTACTACTTATCAAAAGCTGCGCCCTCAGTGGCAATCTCTGTCTTCTTCTAACCAGGTATTGCCCCTTCTTGTTATGCTCCATTTGCTTTGTTTATTTTTCCACACAAAATAAAACGATAAGATTAAACAAATGCATGTAATCAATTGCCATAATAAAAATGGAATTTCAAGTGTGATCTACATGCTTGCTTGCTGCAGTGGATTTAGATTTGTATAGATTATTTTAATTTAATATGGTTGCAGTTTTTAGGATTTCAGTTTAATTGGTAAACTTGTTTTCATTTTGGGGAAAATTGTGTTGTATTTCCTCACAACTTGAGTGCAACTTTGTGCCGAACCTTCATAATGATATGTTTCTGCTTTAATTGTTGGATGCTTATTTTGTAGAAGAAGTGTGTAATTTGTTATTTAAGCTAATTCAGCTTTTTCTCCACGGCTACTAAATTTTTTCAAGTGAAATCATTGTAAAAATAGAAAATTGATTAACAAAAAAGAGCAAAAGTGGGAGTTGGTATGCGCAGTGCACTTGGCAGAATACTTCTATTTTAGTTTTTCATTATCCTGGGCATCTTAGTTACAGCTGCATATGCACTACATCGAAGTATTGAAATAAAATTTCTCAAAGCCATAGTAGTTGAACTGTCATTTTCTTTCAAAGAACTTGAGCCTGTTCTATAATGGTTAGGTGGTGGTGTTCGTGAGAATTATTTGCTTAACCTACCCCCCTTTCAGCCATCACACACACACTCACACTCACACTCACACTCACACTCACACTCACACTCACACACTAGTCAAGATGGATTGGAATTCCCCAAATCTTAATATTTTTCAAAGTTGCTGTTATTTCTTCTTTTAACGGGTCTCTTTGACAGACAGTGATCCCAATCGAAGTATCCCGAGTTAATCAGTTTGATGCTGCGAGGCTGGATATTGAAATGTCAGCTATGCTAAAAGAACAGTTGGTTAAAGTCTTTTCTTTGATGAAGGTAATATCATAACTTTTTAGCTAACCCCAAAATATTTGATATCTTTGGGAGTTTGAAGTCATTTAATTTGTGTGTTCCATTTTATGGGATTAGCCAGGAATGTTATTTCAATATGAACCCGAACTCGATGCTTTTCTTGAATTTCTCATATGGAGATTTTCCATCTGGGTCGATAAACCTACTCCTGGTAACGCTCTTATGAATTTGAGATATAGAGATGAACATGCAGTTGAAGCTAGAGGAAAAGGTTAGCAATTCATGATGTGTTATCTTTGCTATCAGTTAACTTATGATTATACAAAACCGTCATGTTATAATATGTGGAATCTAATTTTGGTTTTCTATAAATTCCAAAATTATGCACCAGTTAAGTGTGTAGACATTGTGACTCAACTTAGTAAGTGATGACTGAAGTTAATGTTCACAAGTCAATTACATTTTGAAGAAAATCGCCTTAAACATCTTGTAAGTTGTAAGAAATTGAATGCCACTAGAACTATTCTATTAACTAGAAAAAATAATACGAGTTATATTCCTTTGACTGAGATATTCAGCATATATTTATGCGACTTGTTCTTGCAATGATACTAAAGCAACGTTATTTTAGGAATATTTTAGAGAGGAATGGCAGCATGAATTCATTCTCTTAGAGCAGGCTTATGTTACATGAGCTTAATGAAGGCAAAACCCTAGTATAATTACCATTATATGGGTTGCTCTTCCTCGATTACCTATTTCTGAGATTTGCTTGTGTATCAGAAGGTGAGATAGCAGGAGAGAGAAATTCAGAATTGGTCTTTTCCTCCCATATGTCCTTCTAAGATGGTTTCTTTTGCCATAATTCTCTCCATCTGTCAATATGTAGACCTGCTAGTCCCTGCCTGGCTTTATTATCTCCCCTTGTGATACAAACGATATGTTGTTTAGTTGGCTCTGGATCTCCTATTTTATTCAATATCTATGTTCCTTTTGCAGTCAGGACGGGGTTAGAGGGACCAGGGCTTACTGTTTTTCAGAAGATTGGGTACTGTATTGCTACGGTTGGTGGACAATATATTTGGGCCCGTCTACAATCATTTTCTGCTTTTCGTAGATGGGGTGACACTGAGCAGGTATCTTTCTGCAAAAGGAAGTCCAGTTAAAATTCTTTTTCCATTTCCAGTGTTTGAGCATGTAATGCATATACATATAGGACACATGTTCATTCATTTCATCTATATCTCTATACATGTTAATAAGCCCATACAACATACGTAGGAGTGAGTTGAGTCACTGTATTCTCTGTCTGCTTTCTTCAGAGATCACTGGCACGTCGAGCATGGTTTCTAATGCAGCGTATAGAAGGATTTTATAAAGCTGCATCATTCGGAAACCTACTCATATTTCTCTTGACAGGAAGGTATATTCTTTTTATGATCAAACTCTATTCTTTATATATTATCTTAAGCACGTGTTTGTAAAATGAAAACAGAGATTTATAAATTTGTAAAGGAAAGGACTGCTCTTTGAATGGTTGATGTCAGTAAATGTCAAATGCTTGCAGAGACCGTCATGTAAAAATTTCATTAAGTTCTTGTGGTTGATCAACAGGCTTTTGGTGCATGTTGAATGAGCATTTATATTTTTACTGATGTTATAGGCGTGTCAGAAATTCTCATATGGCATGGCCTTGTATGGATCTGCATTATGTTTAGATGTACGTTTCATGGAATAATAAGAAGAAGAAACCGTAAGTACTTAGTCCCTGTTGAATCTTTGCCTGCTATAGTCTATAAGTTATATGTGTTAGCTAAAACTAGCTGCTGCTATGACTTAGAGTATATATATGAGATGGATTATATTAAAAGACAACAAGTGCAGGTTTTTCATATGAATTGATTTGCTGCCATACATCTAATGGATAGGATTTTTTATGTGAAAGAATTATTAGACTAGCTAGGATTGGAAAAAAGGCTTTACCAATTTAATGGCTCTTCTCACATATGCAGATATAGAAGTCTTATCGAGAGAGTATTGCGGGCGAGACTTGTTTATGGAAGTCCTAATATGAATCGAGCTGTTAGCTTTGAGTACATGAATCGCCAATTGGTGTGGAATGAATTTTCGGTAACTTCCTTGTCCCTTTTAGCATAAAACAGCTGTCTTGGAAAACCTTCAACTATTTGTGTGCGCGTATACTTATTACATGTGTTTGTATGTGTTCACAAGCTTTAAAAAACGTAAGTCATATGGAAGTTTTTAACTCACTTTATATGCTCTGAACTAAGTTGTAATGAATTGATGACGGGAATGCACTTCTTTAGTTGTTACAACCAACAATTAAGAGCTTTGTGCAAAACCCAGCTCTCTCATAGAGAGTTAATTTCCTTGTATTGAGCCCATTAACCGGTCATTCCTAATAGTGAGATGCAATTTCCTTCATTGCTTCTCCCATCTTCGTCTGGGCAATTTTAGCCTTTCGGACAACTTTATACACTAGCCAAATGGCAAACCTGAATGTGTATGTTATCTTGTCGCTGATGAATGTCAGCTGAAGCACGAGTTATTTGCAGGAAATGTTACTGTTGCTCCTTCCTCTTCTCAATTCATCATCTGTTAAAAATTTTCTCCGTCCCTTCTCGAAGAATAGTTCTTCAAATTTAGAGGGTGATGAAGCTTTATGTCCCATCTGCCAGGCAACTCCAACCACCCCATTCGTAGCTCTTCCATGTCATCACAGGTACTTATAAGTGGACAACTTTTGTTTTAGATTTGCTAGCCAGGCTTTTCGGTGGACCGGTCTTTAACAGGCCATGCGGGCTTGGCTGCCGGCCCATTTTCGCACTGGTAAATAATGGCAAGCATTATATGTTATTTCTTAGAACTGATATGCTGATGTAAATCTTGCTAATAGGTACTGCTACTACTGTCTTCGAACACGGTGCTCTGCAACTATGTCATTTCGGTGCCCTAGATGTAGTGAGCCTGTCATTGCCATGCAACGACATTGGGGTTCTGTAGGCAACATTATTACTCAGAAAGAATGATTGTTATATAATAAAGCAAAGGCTAGCTCAAGTTTAATTATATCCAAAAATTAGCTGATTTTAGCATTATTATTTTATTAGGGGACGAGATCCCTTCACAAAGCTTATTTTCAACTCCATCAAGTGCATGATATCTTTCATATTAATGTGGGAATTCAATTTGTGGTTTTCAATGTAACCTTAAATGGAGGTGTCAAGATTATGCCGTTCAACTTTGTGAAGCACAAACTGAAATCTATTCTTTGTAAAAATTTTAGCTGAGGATGGGAAGCAATTGCCCTTCGTTATGTCTTTACTTTTGCTATTTAATAAAATGGTTCTTGTCATAGCAATGTTGTGGCTCGTAATCATGTTTGCTTTGCTATTTCTTTGCCAATGAGCTCTCATGGGATTGATTGTAGTGCTTTTTTATCTAACCGTTTGTTTCGCGGCAATGTAGTTAAATGAAATCTTTTTTTTTCCCTCGCCCCCCCCCCCCCCCCAAAAAATAAAAAATA